TTTGTTCCTGCTCTCGCCACTGTAATCGACTTAGTCTCCCCCGCATTCCGAGACTTAATCGACTGGAATTTCCTGGAACGTGAAAAAGAGCACAGTCATCCAGTCGAAGGGGTCCACGGAACCCCCCTTGATGGTTTGATCTTTTAGGTAATAGATGTATGTCTTATATAAATTTTAATAAAAAAATATTAGTAGTTTTGCGTTGGGTCGTGTTATTATAGCTTGGCCCGTTACTAGATAGTAAATTAGGTGATTAGAGCCAATTTTTTGTGAAACATCGACTAAACAAAAGAGAATTATACACAGTTTAAGAAACGCAAACCCCCTTTGAAAAATCCTGGATCCGCCACTGTGACAGCTTATGAAATATCGTCGCACGAAAAATGCAACTAGCAAGTCTGTTTCATCATTACAATCTTAGAAATAATTCATTAAAACATCCCAAAAAAGTATTATTGAACAGACCTTTCTCGAATTCACTAGAATGACCACGAAACGATGGTCGAGATCGGACTCGATGAGTTTATACATGTACTATTTCTAGTCTTTTATAGCTACTTTTAGTTGCATTTCTTTTTGCTTTTCACAAGCATGCACCTTTAACGTTTTTTTTTTTTTACCCTATGGTCTTTTTTGCATTTCTTTTCATCTTCAGTTTCAAATTTATTATCTGAACAGCGGTAAATAGAAGTTATTTGATTCACCGGCCTAAATTAGGTCAAGACAGGGTAAAACTAAGCCCGTATCGTTTTCAATGCGGAGGGAAAGTTTTCCCCTCAAATCCGATTTTAGGTCAATGAAATAGCTTATTCACTTTTCCCCCTTGTTTAATCTGTGAATGGTTCCCTAACCCCTTTTCTGAAGCCTTCCTGAGTATTTGAATCAGCTTAGGGGTCACAGATAGAGTACTTAAGGAATAGTGGAACCGCATATGCCTATGTTAATGGCGATTAATTGATTGATTAATTGAAGACTTTATATAATGCGGGGTGACACGCGACTAAAATTTCGCTAACTGATTAACTTGTGGCCCTCGAGTTTTTTTTTAGCACGGGCACTGAAGATGGTCATCACCAGCGTCTTTAGTGGGTCTTTTACGTCCGCCTTATACAKGGTTATTAATAGGGACCTTAAGCTGCAAGACGGCAACGACGACGGCAACCATACAATAGCACTAATTGCGCTATTCAATAGATACTCGTTGGAATGTACGAAATACTGTGCTTCATTGCCGTCTTATGCTGAAAGTGAGACGTGAAATGTCCTATTTTTACGTACTAAAGAGAACGGCTACGCCAAAAGCTTATCTTTGCTGATTTTCGTTATAAGTAAAGCGCTTCCAAAAGACGTCCTTTCGTTCTAAAACGGGGATGCTTATTGAGTAAAATACTAGGTAAACACGAAATGACGATACAATAGAAGGTTGAAGCGCCTCAATTTCGCCCACGTTGTCGCCCACGTTGCCGTCCTGCAGCTTAAGGTCCGGCCCTATTTGGTAAAGACAGACGGGGCCTATAAGTTAAGTCCTTGTCCGAGAAGACTTGAAGGTCTAACCATTTGCAGATATAGTTACAAAGGCAGCACCTTCTGCTCAGTTATTTTAACTTTAAAAAAAAAAAACTATTTTATTTAAAGTTGGTCCGGCCGAGGCTTGAACCACGACCTTCCGCAGACCAAAAGGACTCTCTTACCAACTGAGCTAACCGGGTGGCATAAACATGAAACGAAACTTTATTGCTTCTCGGGAAGGAAGAGACTTAATTGACTGAATGTCCTGGAATGTGAAACCAGAGCATAGTCATCCTAACCATCCAGCTTTTTTCCTAAGTGATGAATAATTTCAGATGACAGCTTATGAAACTGATATCGTCCCACGAAAAATGCAGTTAGCTACATCTCAGTTTCATATATCATTATATATTTTTAGAAACAATTCTTAAATCTTATTTTTTCAAACAACGATGTGACGTTAAATAACATTATATGAACATGCTTCTTATCTATTTTGCCTGTATAAAAAATATTATTATATTTTCATTATCAATTTATTTAGTTTTTTCTGTTTTATGATATTTTTTTTGTATTTTTTTATATTTTTAGAGTGTATATATACATATATTTCTCTATATTGTAAAAGCATTGAGATTTTTAAATGCGTTTAGTAAGAATTAAATTATTATTATTATTATTATTATTATTATCAATGCAGAAGAAGAAGAGCAAGAAGAAGAAGAAGAAAAAGGAGAAGCAGAAGAAGAAAAAGAAGAAGAAGAAAAAGGAGAAGCAGAAGAAGAAAAAGAAGAAGAAGAAGAAGAAGAAGAAGAAGAGAATTTCGAGCAGTTGTAAACTCCCGCTGGCCTCTACTTTTTTAAGCTTGCTTAATTTGACGAGCAAGAGTGGCTACGATTTTACAAATTCGCTGAGTACTTTCATTAGTAGGAAACTAACAGTGCCGGCAATTATACTCCTCACCCAACCTTACATGCTATAAGTTCCACTGGCTTGTTTAGCCGTTTGACCCTGAGCCAATAGGTCGTATCATGGCTCAATACATTTAAATGTTTTTAAGAACCTTTTTATCTTTCATCAATCAGTTTCCGTGATTTTAAGTAGTTAATTGCTCGGTAAGTCAATTTGTCTTTCTAATAAGAAAAGTATTAAGGTTTGAGTGTTTGCTTTTCATAAGCAGATAAGTCCCCCCCGCACCGTTTTTAGTGTCGGTCGTCACGCAACGCCTTGCGGGTCGCCACAAGGTGTACGTTCAAACGCCGACATATATAATTGAAAGAGCTATGGATCGCATATCAATTACACGTCTGTTTCGGTTCCAAGTAGTTGTGCAGTAAGGTTGGCAGACAAACTAGGTTTTAACAATCTATTTACGAACAATCTAAAGTTTCATGGAAATTGTTCGCTTTTTAAGCAAACAGTGAAGAACAAATCAGTAGTAGCAAATCGGCCCGTAAAGTCAAGCGTGACTAGAAAGTTTTAACTTTATTAAAAAAGGCCTAAATCTTTGAGCTACTAGATTTATTAAGTTCAGAAATATCCGAGTGTTTTTGACGCATTACGGAGCGAATTATGCATTAAGAATTAAGAATTAAGCATTCTTTCTACGCATGATTTTATTGCGCGCGTGCTCGTCGTGATGACGTCATTGTTTGTTGAACAAAATATCAAAACCTTCTCGAACTCTTATTTTTCTTCAAAACGAACGCTAACCTCTCCTTGTCATTTTAAATATCTCATAGAAAGGAATCGTTTTGAAAAATCATTAGTTATATAAATACATTCTCACCTTTTCCGCGGATAATTTGTTCTTTTCTTCCATGTTTTGTTTTCACCACTTGATGACTCATCACATACCTCAGTCACGTAGGTGCCGACATGATTGACTTCTAAGTCATTTTGCTTGAAGGTCTGCATGGTGATCCCCTATTTTGTTAGGCTCATTTTAGCGTTTTATGTTGTTTCATCGACTATCAAGCCAGTTTAACTTTAACATTATATTTGCTAGCGAACGTCCTTAAGTGCGTTGTTTATAAATTTTGCGCTTGTATAAGTTTATTTAATTATTCATCGACATAACAATCATAATATTTATTCTCTATAGATACTTTCCCATAGCCCATAATGCTTTGCACCTTGGGGGGTAACCAATCAAAAAACTGTCCCAAATTGAAAGGTTTCTTAATTGAATTTATACTATACCTGCTTTTATCTGTACAATACTGTTTATCAGTTTATTACAAGTTATTTTTGCGTATACAGAACATCAAGAGTTTTGGTGTTGCAGAAAATGTACTGACTTACGAAGAAATGTTACTTTAAGCTTTTCCAAGCTTTTTTATTTTATATTTGTTGTCAAACGAGGTATTTTCAACATTATCTGATCAGCCTTCAGCAAAATAAGTGCGGCTTTTTCCTCTGGTTGACCCCCACAACCGCCATGGGTATGGGAAAGYAAAGAATGCGGTATACCGTGGATAACCATAGAGAGTTTTAGATCGTCTTTTTCCTTCCTGCAAACTGCAAACGTAACCACGGTTTAATCATTTTCTGTATTTTACCTTTTACCTTTTACAAACTTTCTCACCACACGCAAGTATTCTTTTGTTTTTCTACTATTTGGAGTCTCTTGCTGTCCCTTTTCACTCATTTAAAATATTATTTTTAAACGTACGGGTCAACTGACGTTTCACATTTCCGTGAACGTCAATCTAAAATTCTGTTTACGTGTGATGGCTCAGTAGTTTTGTTTTTGGCTTTTGGTAACATGTCCTATTTGTTCTTGTTTTCCTTGACGAACTTGCTTTCATTTGTGTTTTAAACACGTACGTCACGTTTCATTTGCCTTTTCTGCTATTTGTTTTGGAGTAAGTGTATTTACCATATAGGATTGATTATGAAAAAATTGATTTAACAAGAACAAGATAAAACATGTAAAATTAACAGATCAAAAACAGTTTTCCGTGTTTGATACTCTGATCAAAACACGCGGGATGTTGAGAGAACACGAGAGGAGCGTAGGAAACCACGACGCGTAGCGGAGTGGTTTCCAGCTTCTCGAGTGTTCTCCCAACATCCCAAGTGTTTTGATCAGAGTATCAAATGCAGGAAACTGTTTTTGATTTGATTTATAAAATAACAAACGCGCGAAAAGATCGAAAAAAAGCAAAGTCTAAGTAAATTCTCCCTACGTGCCGTCTTATTCAAACTGACCAATGAGTGCGCGCGATAGATTAAAAATGACGGTAGCGTGTTTTGATACTCTCATCAAACATGGTTTTCGACCAATCATAGCGCGCGTAGTATCCCAATTATTTTATAAACAAGCAGAAAACAAAGAGTCTTAGAACACTACAATATCGATAATAAATCCGCCGAGAGAGCACGTACGAGAAACTGTGTGCACACAACTTATTAACGAGGTGAGGGTCTCCGCACAGTTCACGACGATACAAGGAAATTTAATATTAAACGTTCACGATTCACGAATTTTAGAACATGCTAGAGTCGCAAATCTGAGAACAACCTTCGCGAAAATTGAAAAACTCGCGAGCTCACGATTTCACGCAAATCCACGGCCTTACCTTGTCAACATGTTTAACACCTACGCAGGCAAAACCCTCAATTATTTCGACATGTGGATTGTGACGTGCACCTAGCTATACTTTTTAAACCTTCATTTCGGATAGCCATTTTGCATTTTGCAAGGCGACTGACAACACACACTAAAAGTTATCACTGAGAAAACTGACAACCAAGGACCGATTTATCCCCAGTATCTTCAGAGTTCTTTACCGGCTTTTCAACAGGCTGCACATATCTAAATATGCTTTTTCTGAAAGTGTTTATTTTTGGTAAGTAGTTCTTTTACTTTTTGTAATTTTAATAAGGATTATTTTTATAAGAACTGAACTGACATATAATACTTCGATCGTATCGGGTGATTCCTACAGTTGTATCGTCATGCAGTTCTCAGCATCCCGTGTGTCTAGATCAAAATAACTAAAGCCGAAAACCGTTTAATATTTCTTAATCTTGTCATTAAAAATGTCGACTGAGTTTGACGGGCTTTTCTTTTGTCGCCAATGCAGCTGCAAAAAGCATTATTTTTTTCCCCTTTGACTTCATAAGTACTCGAGTAGACAGGTCATCTCATCGGGATATTTCAAATCATTTATCACAACCAATAATCGCACTGACATATCCGTGAGTAAGCACTGCAAATGAGTTTTAGAGTTAAGGTATACTTCTTCCTCTAGAAAACTTCGTAAAATAAGTTTGCTGTTTCAAGGTCGTGTGTTTTGATCTTTCTCATCCACGCAGTCGTTATTCTTTATTCTCTTTTCTGTTGTTGAGAAGATTCAGATCTTAACTTAAGAGTGTTCTGACTTCATCTCTTGTTACGTAAGAGTCAAGGTCTGCGGACCCAGACTGGAGCGAAGGAGGCGTTAGTCTCCCTCGCATCCGTTTTTAGTGTCGGTCGTCACGCAACTCTTCCTCCCCACAAACGGCTGCTTGCATTCGAACTACATTCCTTTCTCATTATTTGGATCGTACCAATGAGGTCGAGCGTATTGTTTCCTATTGAGCCAATCACAGTGTTCGAAAGTATAAACATGGTGAGTTTCAATCGAGCTGCTTAAGAACATCCTCGAAAGAAATCACCAAAGTGAAGCTAGCGTCGGATTGGCAGCGTCGGATTGATATTCATTGAGATTCAGAATCATTTCCGGGGGAGGTCAAACAGGTCATTCTACTAAAATCCTCTTTTTCCCCTAACGGTGACAAAATCACAAACGAATTCCGATTAAACTTTCTTCTCTGATTTCTATTCATGATATTCTACGCTCTTAGTAGAATACACTGCCTATTCTCGACGAATTTACGGATTTTGATCTCAGCCTCGGATTGGACTCGTATTACAAGTTACGTTCAAAACATTCAACTGACAACAACAGACTGACGATTTAATTTTTATCAAACATTCAATTTATTTACTTCTAATCTTCATATAGTGAACTCGATTTTACTTTTAACCTTCGTATCGGAATCTACATTTCATGATACTGATTTTGCTCTCAGCCTCGGATTGGACTCGTATTACATCTCAGCCTCGGATTGGAATCGTATTACATATCTCAGCCTCGGATTGGAATCGTATTACATCTCAGCCTCGGATTGGGATCGTATTACATCTCAGCCTCGGATTG